AAGCCGGAGAACCTGCTGATTGACAAGGATAAGAATGTCAAGATCGCGGATTTTGGGCTGAGCAACATCATGACAGATGGAAATTTCCTCAAGACCAGCTGCGGCAGTCCTAACTATGCTGCTCCCGAGGTCATCTCCGGCAAGCTCTATGCTGGACCCGAGGTCGACGTATGGAGCTGCGGTGTTATTCTGTATGTTTTGTTAGTGGGACGGCTCCCGTTTGATGACGACTATATTCCCGCCCTGTTCAAGAAGATTGCCGCAGGCAACTTCCACATGCCCCCTTATATCTCGTCTGGAGCGGCTCGCCTGATCAGATCGATGCTCCAAGTCCACCCAGTCCACCGAATCACTATTCCCGAGATCCGCCAGGACCCTTGGTTTCTGCAAGACCTACCCAAATACCTTCAACCCCCTCCGGAAGAATTCATTGCTACTGGAGTGGATCCGAACAAGGCTATCGACCCTAAGAAGATTGCCCCGGGGAAGCCCCTCTCGGCGCAGCACAAGATTCACCAGATCGCCATCTCCAAGCTGGAACGGAGCATGGGATATGCGCGGGAAGATATCGAAGATGCACTCAAGAGCGCCGAGCCCAGTGCCATCAAGGATGCTTTTTTCATAATCGTGGAAAACGAAATGATGCAGACCAATTGTGAGTGACAACTCCAACACACCTCCCTGACTGCATTGTCGAGCTAACAGCCGCAGCTCCCACAGAAGACAACCTGATGGGCGGTCCTGTCGCACCTTCACCTCCCCCGAACCGAACTCCTTTGACTACGCCTGCAGTTGGCCGGCCCGCTGCACCCCGTCCTCAAGGGTCCCCTCTTTATGATTCACCTCGCCCCTCTTCACAACTATCACAACAGGTAGATTCGGATGATTTTGAAAGTTCCCGAATTAGCCACGTTCGCATTTTGCCGACGAGCTTGCCCTATGTTCATGATCAACTAATGGAACAACGGGAGCGGGAGCGGGAGCAGCGGGCGCGTGATGCGGACCGATTACGAGAAGAACGTGCTCAGGCCAGTCTCGACGACGATCTTTCCGGTGCACGTTCCCCCGAGGAGCAGGAAGCTACCGCCAGAGCTTTGAAACCTCACTCCCGTAGTATCATCGATCTGAACAATCTGCGCCTGGAACCTCCAGAGGCTCGGAGTGCTCCCCAGCAGCCCAAGAGGACCCGCAAGTGGCAGTTTGGTATTCGGTCTCGCAATCAACCTTACGAGGCTATGCTCTATCTGTACAAAGCCATTGCAGCACAGGGCGGCGTCTGGGAGATCCAGCCCTCCGAAGCAGGTTCGTTCTATTCCAAGTTACTGACTCACGTTCTTCAACTAATTAGTTACCAGAAGGCACAACGCCCATTGGGGTTGAACGGCGACCAGGAGAAAGACCTCTGCAAGGGAAATATCCAGATCTTCCGGCCGACTACTACATTCCGAAGGACTCCTGGTTCATCCGGGCGCGTCTGTTGAAGCAAGGTGTCACGGCACCGGGTCGCTCAGCCAGTGTGCAGAGCAGCAAGAGTGACTTGGAAGAGCTTCGCCGTCGATTCAACATCTCTGGACTGTCACACTCCGCCGAAGAGAAGAATCCTCTTACGATGGACAATGCGAGCAACTCAGGCCCATCCTCCGCAACCCAGCCACACCTGCCTGGACGAATCTCGCATGGGGTGTGGGTGTTTGTGGATATCCAGCTATACCAGCTGGAGGAAAACAACTACATGGTTGACTTCAAGTGTGACGGATACCAGAATGTGATCCGCGCGGAAGGCGACACCGACTGGCATCCCATCAGCAAACGTTACTTCAACAAGGAGAAAGAGGTCACGAGCCCCTATCCTTTCCTCGACGTGGCGTCGGACTTGGTGGCTCAACTGGCTGTCGCCAGCTAATTGCATTTTCTCGAGTTTGGACGGCTGGCGCATAATGGAGTTCTTGCGATGATTTGGTGCATGGCGCACACTGGCGTCTCATGATTTACGGCCTTACTTCCTGTATCTTATTCTAATATTATGGGCATATGCGGAAAACGCACCTTGTTTGGGCACTGACTGTCAAATCACTATTCTCAGATCCAGGGCTGTGTGGCATATTACGAGGAGAGTTGATCAATGTGCCTTGAACCTGTAGCATAGCAATGTTCTGATACTGTTGAGGAGGTCTGGCTAGCAACTGGAAAGTGTCACTATATGTAGAGGTCTTCCACCATCAGGCATCAACAATACAATACTAAGGGTCTATCCCCCTTCAACGCCGCCTTATCAGACCACTCTCCACAACCAACTTTGATATCCATGTCAGATCTTAAAACGCACACACTGTGACACTGCACCGAGCGAAATCAAAGACACAACTGCCGCACCCATCACCCAACCGACAACGGAACATCAGACCATCGAGCGAGTCTTTCGATCATCAGGTGCCGATAATCGAGATTATTGCTATCCGGTAATGGTGCCAGGAAAGTATTTCCCTCGTGAGATGCGTGTGTGGGGGAATGCGGAGATGGAGATGGAGGAGTCGGGGATAATTTCCCAGGTAGGGAAGCCAGTAGGAAAAGCAAGCCGATCAGATTATTTATGGACTGGATGTGGGAAGGTGAACCAGCGGCTTGGAGCCTGGACATACAGTCTGGACTCTGGAGAGGAGGGAACTGGGCCTACTGCCAGGCGGAAAAGCAGTTTGCCGCTCTCCACAGTGGGAGCGGACTGTGGGGGAGAGTGGGTGGTGGAGAAGCCGCTGCATCGCAAGGACGCAACAGCGACACGGGGAGAAGAGCCGAGTGTCAGGCGAGAGGAGGTCGGTAATAAAGTCGTTGAGCTGCTGTGTATTTTCGGAGTGTTGCGTTTGTTTCAAAGCCTGTCAGCTTGTCCGTCACCATGTCGTCCGAACAGCTGGCTCAATTGCAGAAGCCTACGGGCGAATATCGCCAGTATCTCCCGGACCTGAGTCTGAAGCGCTTCCAGGTAATGCGCGGCCAGGATGCGCATGAGTACGCGCACGATTTCAAGACGCTGCGCCACCCGCCCTGGCTGCATGCGCTGTATATGCACTGGTTGGATTTGCTGCAGGAGCCGTTTAAGGGTGTCACGACTGATGGTATGTTAGCCATTATGGTAGAGCGACTGACTGTGATCTCTTCTTTGTTGACTGATGCTCAGGAAATGTGCGCCCCGGTCTGTTCACATTACAAGACGAAGACGTCCCCATCGCGGAGATTGTCACCGCGACAGAGTCCCTGCTCTCGATTCTAGACGACAACCAGCGCCAGTCCCTCAGCTACCACATCGACTCGCCCGAATGGCGCACATGGTCCAACCCGGAATTCCTCCTCAGCCACAAGGGCCTGCGTCTCGACGAAGTCACCCCCTCCGTCCGCGACGCCATCATGCACATCCTCGAGACAACGCTCTCCCCAGAAGGCTACGACAAGGCCGTCAAAGCAATGCGCATCAACCACTTCCTCGGCGAACTGGTCGAGGCCCCCCGCGTCATGAACGAGTTCTCCTACAACTTTGTCCTCTTCGGCCGCCCCTCCCCCGACAGGCCCTGGGGCTGGTCCTTCTACGGCCACCACCTCTGCCTCAATATCTTCCTGTACAAGTCCCAAATCGTCGCCTCCCCCTGGTTCACCGGCGCCGAGCCCAACGAGATCGATACCGGGCCCTACGCAGGCACCCGCATCATGCAAGTCGAGGAGCAACTCGGCCTCAAACTCATGCAGTCCCTCTCTCCCGAACTACAATCCCAGGCCCGCGTCTTCTCCCAGATGCACGATCCCGCGATGCCCCCGGGCCGTTGGAACAAGGACGACCAGCGCCATCTCTGCGGCGCATACCGCGACAACCGCGTCGTCCCGTACGAGGGCATCTCCGCCTCCTCCCTCACCGAACCCCAGAAACAACTCCTGTATGGCATTCTGGAGCAATACCTCCTCTACCTGCCTGCGCGCGCGAGGGAGTTGAAACTCACCCAGGTGCGCCAGTATGAAAGCGAGACATACTTCTGCTGGATTGGCGGGTTCGGCGACGAGGATCCCTTCTACTACCGTATCCAGAGCCCTGTTATTCTTGTCGAGTTTGACCACCACTCTGGTGTGTTTCTGAGTAATGAGGAGCCAAAGAAATTCCATATCCATACGCTGTTAAGGACGCCCAATGGGGGCGATTACGGAATGGCGCTGCGGCCGTTAATTCCTGCTGTAGAGGGGATTAATGGGAAGGAGATTACCTGGGAGAAATCGGCGTTATAGTTTATATATTCTGTGGAGTCCTGTCTATACTAACGGCGTAGTAGATTGTGGCATCTCATGAGTATGAGTTGTATATAGCTGATTGTATATACTAAAGAAGAAATCAGGTTGATTGCTTCATTGATATGCACCGGTAAGCTTTCTGATGTCCCCGAGTGCAAACATCCAGAAGGATAGTTTCCGTAAGTCTACTACGTCCATAACTGGAGTATGTATTCCCTAGACTGCCAGAAAGTACATCGTCTGGAACCCTTTTGGATTCCGTTGATAATTTACCAGGTATCTAGAGAGGTAGTGGTAGGAGATCGAGCTGAGGTATGCTCAAGATAGATTGAAGGTGCTGCGCAAGGACCATTCGCTTGATATATTCGATGAGATCGATGATTATTGAAAACACAGGGAATCAAGAACAAACAAGAACAGAATGCTATCTCTGCGATAATGTAATTACACAAACATCTGCGTTCTGGCCGTATATGCAAGGAGGGGGTAAATCCGGCCATAAGAGGAGTCTCGGTATTTCGGGGCAGCTCTTAAGCCCCCGCAGTCATCTACTACCTTACGGAATAATGGCCGGCAATTTAGCCAGCCGCTGATGGATTGTTAGAGGCGCTTAGTGGCTGCTTGATGGAGCTGTTTAAAGTATTATAAGGGCTGCTTCTCTCGGGCGTTAAGTCTTCAAATCTTCGACATTGTCTCTTCCTACCAAATCCGGCGAGATCGTCAAACGGAGCACAATGGTGAGATGCTATTGGCAATTCTCGTAATATGATCATTAACTAAACCAGAAATAGGTCTCTGAACAAGCTCATCTCCACATTATCATTGCCGGTGCTGGCCTTGGCGGTCTAGCCGCGGCAGTCTCCTGCGCACTCTCCGGACATACGGTAGAAGTAGTCGAGCAAGCAAAGGAGCTCGTCGAAGTTAGTGGTGTACAGAAGATCACACAACATCGTTCTAACCAAAATAGGTCGGTGCAGGTCTTCAGATAACTCCCAACGCCTCGCGACTTTTCAAGTACTGGCAACTTCCCAACTCCATCTGGCAAGCCGCAGCTGAGCCCACGGCGCTCACCGTCCATCGCTATACTGGTCAGATCCTCGCCAACGAACTCTCCTTCCACAAGAACATCCGCGCAAAGTATGGCGCTCCGTTCATCGACCTGCACAGAGTAGATCTACAGCAAACCCTGTATGCCCGTGCGAAGGAGCTCGGCGTCACATTCCATCTCAACGAGAGAGTCGACTCGATAGACTTTGACACAACAACGATCAAAACCCTAGCTGGCAATCAGTACACCGCTGACTTAATCATTGCTGCTGATGGGCTCTGGTCCCGCTGCCGCGAGTGTTTCCTAGGGAAGAAGGATGCGCCGCTCCCTACTGGCGATCTGGCCTACAGAATTGTGCTAGCTGCGGATCAAATCTCGGATCCGGAGTTGAGAGCCTGGGTTGAGAACCCAGAGTGTCACTTCTGGATAGGACCCGGTGCACATGCCGTGGCCTACTCGCTTCGCAATGGACGAATGTTCAACATTGTGCTGCTTGTGCCGGATAATCTGCCCCCGGGAGTCTCCAGACAGTCTGGCTCGGTGGAAGAAATGCGGAAGCTCTTCGAAGGCTGGGATCCAGTGTAAGTTCCTCCTTCTCTTGGCCTTGGGCTGACGCTGACAACAATAACGACAGCTTGAATCGCTTCCTGAGCTACGTCGACAGCGTGGACAAGTGGAAGCTGATGCACCGTGAGTATCCTGCGCCGAAACATTGGGACAAGTATTGAACTGTTACCTTACAGACGCCGAAATGGAAACCTGGGTAAACGACAAGTCAAACTTGGTCTTCCTGTACGCATTCCCATCGCCATTCTATATTCATCATCTAACCCACTCAGCGGTGACGCCTGCCATCCCATGCTCCCCTACCTTGCACAAGGCGCCAACTCGTCTCTCGAAGACGGCGCAGTCCTGGGCCAATTACTCGGCCACATGAAGAACAAATCGCACCTACCCCAGATCCTCCGGTTGTACGAGAGCCTGCGGAAATCCCGCGGCGAGGCCATTGTCAAGGAGACTTTCAAGCAGGTCAGCTGCTATCTCATTCCTTCCGCTGCAACGCATTGACTTTCTTTCAGAGACATGATTTCCACATGCCAATACTAGGACATGTCCAGAGGTGCAGCCCTGGCTTTATGGCTACGATGCAATCACAGAAGTTGAGAATGTGGTTGCGCAGCACCCGGAATTGTTCGCCAGGGCGTCTGCGAATCTGTAGTCCGTTTCTTTCTACATAGATACTATATACCAAACGCTTGATACTATTACTTCTGTCTGCCACTTGCCAGTTCATATGTGTCCCGGCATACACAATGGTAACCAACGTACATAATTCCCCACGGCATTCCCCGCTTTTTATACTTTGAACTAATGAACTGATGGGTCCACAGACAACACCATAATTGCCGGCTGCATCGGTATATTTTGCCGATGTACATGATGAGAGGATAGATAATCCCCAAAGTTCAATTTCCACACTGAGGTCGGATTTTACGTAGCGGTTGTCGTGATCCCCTCGTAGGGCCCCGAGACAGCGGCGGAGATCCATCCAGTCGCATAGGTGATCAGACCGTAGATCGGTAGGGAGTTTAGATGTGGGTCATAGATCACTCATTCATCTACTGCACATCTAGATACCTTCAAAATTGTACAATATATTTCAGCATGGGTTCATTTACGGAAGACCTGCTCGAGTACATCTCACAGTATTTCATTCCCGTTTCTCCAAGCTTTTACACTCATATTCCAGAGTACTTCTCAGTCTTCAAGTCACGGATCCACAAGGAGTCCCAACTGTCTACTGATTGCTATTGTCCATTGCCAAATCGACTTATTTGGCCAAGCAAGGATTAGCAAGCTAATGGGTACTCTGGACACCACCTGTGGTGACTGGGACCTCACTCCTATACCCATTTTGCCTTCTAGATAGACTTGCCATAGCTGCGTACGTTAGAGAATTGGGCTTCATCCATGCAAGTGTATGGGCCATTATACCCTGTGCATAGGTCAAATAGGCAAGTCTCTGATTCGTTTGCTTAAACAGATACTGATTATGCAGAGACTGTCCAAATTTACAACATGCTGATCCATAGGAATAACCAGTCCTCTAACAAAAGGGCTTCTGTGAAGACCCTGACGAGGAAACTTCTCTCTTTGTCTCACACACGCCCTTCGTACGAAAGATCACGAGCTTGAGAGCATCATCGAGCAGCGGAAGCGTCGTGGTCAGTTAAGTCCCAAACTGGAAGGCCTAGTAATAGACAGACTTCGAGAGAAGGGAAGCTAAGAGTACACTCTTGGTGTACTGCGGAAGCGTTATCACGGTGTGAAAAGGAGCCTTAAAGACTTGAAGAGATGAGTGGGTGTAAGAACTGGGTGTTACAGATGCTGTTATCTAAATTGGAGGTTGACATCTAGAGCTTGCTATCTCCAGCTTGTCCCTCATTGTGGTTACCTCTGGAATGATGACCATTGCTCTGAATCAATAATATAAGGACTGCTTGGCTGTCACTATCAGCTCTAAAACCCATTGACCTGCTGCAAGTGAATTGTTCCAGATTATTTAACTTCTACCATAATCTCCCAATTAACAACGGCATTGCAACTCTTAGCCTTATCTTATTGAGGCATCTCCTAGACCGCAGTTTTAGTTGAAAATCAGCCCACTGATATTTACAACCCCCAGGAACTAGCTAGCAGCTCTAGGGGCTTCTATATGGGTATGTATACTACTGCTGCTACTACTACGAGTTCCCGCAAGGCAAAAAGACCAATGTTACTCCAAGATGCTGCGCATCTCGCGAATCCAGACCCATATAGTAGCTATAAAGATGTTAACCCGCGAACAGATATGCATTCGGAGGGTAAGTAGTTAATGTCATTTGCTCTTCCTTAGACCCTTCAGAAGAAAAATCTTGTCTGCGGCCTGCCTTTTAGGAAGTATATACAAAGAATGTCGCAGAATCCTTAAACACAGAGTGACGTGTGGCTATCACAATGTCCGTATCAATGCCTTTAACTTTTATTTGAATCCTGAAACTTCTCGTCGCCAGGATCCCCGCGTCACTATGCATGGTGTAGCTGTCGCTCCCGTGCAACATGCTCTGATGTACTTAGATAAGTCATGCCGGGCACTTATATCGATCATACACTCCGCGGCGTATTGGCGCTTGTTCCAATCCTCCCGCCTCCGGGACCCCCGTCGCCATCCCCAAAGCGCTTCCACGGTCGAGCTGCCGCTAGATCATTTCGCGAAGACACCGAAGTCGACGAGCTTCGGCTCAGTGATGCAGGCGAGGAGACTTTAGATGATTCAGCCGATGAGGCAGCATTCCTCGCAGTAAGAGCAGCCGCCGCCGGGTTGCAATGCGCGCAGACGAAGATGCCAAAGCCGCGTCCATTGCAGCTGGCACATACGGCTCCTCTGCCAGGTGTCAGAAACGGTGCAATATACTCTTCTGAAACAGCATGCAGAACGTACCTTGGTGCGTTACCTGCGCAATCCCGACAGGTTAAGACGGTCCGGCCTCCTATGCAAGCTGTATGCTCCGGGTCCAGGTTCAGCGACGACATAGCGCGATATGACATTGTTCTGTCTCAATTACGTAGCACGACAATGTTTGTATGCCTTGGAGCCTGCGTCGAGAAGTCAAAGGTAGAGGCAGACTGTAGATACAATTGCATTCCCTGAAGCAAGCGATCCGTGAAGCCTGGCTGACATCAGTTGGCCACTTCTAAAAGAACAGCCCTGTTCAACTGAGGAAATGCGTTGCTTATTAGTCTCGCCTTAATACAGCTTCTATAACTGCGCAGGTGGTGTGGTTAGATTAGATGAGCAAAAAGAAACTTGGCCTTGCAGGCCGAACAGGGCCCCTCCCTGTCCAGTCCAAACGGCGATTTCTCCGTATGCCGTAAGCAAAAGACGATATGGTCACTGGACTGTGCGACTAGAGTCTCGAGTCTATCATCCGGTTTAGATCCTTGCTGGTGGCGAATCAACGTCTGTCGTCCGAGTCGAGACGCCGCGGAATCAGAGGAGATCGGCTGCGCTGGCAGGGATCAGGAACCATCGAAGCGACGCCCAAGCGGCCCAACGGTCCAGAAGACACACGTTCAAGATCGTCGCGCAGGGCAGATTTCTGAAAAGCGGAAACCTGACGACGAGTGCGGTCCATAGAGCTGAGTCCCAAATCGCAAGTGGTTGAGACCGACATTGAAAAGTCGACCAGATGCCTTGGTCCGAGCCTCGCTTATGACATGCCGCATGAAGCTAGGTCCAGTGAGCGAGCGCCGAATCATGCAATCAGAGTGAAGGAAAGAAGGGAAAAAAACAGGAGAAGCATAAAGTATTGAAAATATCGCAAGATCCATACCATGGAACAAAGGCGAAAGCATGGCAGCCACCAAGGGCTGTGTTACTCGAGCCGCGAATGATAGGGGATTGACACAGGAATTTCGAATCGCTGCCGCTCCAACGAAGCAAGTGAGGGCTCGCCGACAACCACGGATAGGTGCAGGGAAACGTGCCAGTATGATATCATTCCCGTGTATCAAATATAGATCACACAGAACGCTCTTCTAGAAGGTGTACAGACGAGAAAGAGGTAACATCAAGTTAGTATCGTGTTCCTGTCAGCAATGCCGAACACGTATTACCGGTGCCCAAAAATCACGTTTCTATTTGAGCAAAGACACGATCGATTTCTGTACGGCGTGAATGTCATTCGTCTCGCTAGTTCGTAGCCCACTAGCGGACCCCCTAATGCAAGCTCAACCATTCTGTTCCTATGACTGAGGATGCAACGATTTAACGGAATTGAGCACAGCGACTCAAATGCGACTCTTAGCGAGAGTGTAGCTTCTGCGGCATACACCATTGCGATGCACGGCAGGATCCAAGCTACTGCAAGGTTAGTGAAAGTATGTCTGCCCGGAGGAAGACATGCTAGAGGAGACTGTTGGATAGGTCGATACCTGACTGTGACCTGGCTTCCATAACCCTAATCGCCTGCATCGAAAAGTCAGGGATATGTTTGGTTAGGACTCCATCATAGTCAATCCAACATACAGGATCTCCGGTCTAGTACAGTGAGTGGCGTTGTGAGAAAGCAGCGAGTATCTCTCATAATGGTCTCGTGAGCACTCTCAGGATGGCGCCTGAGATCTCACCTCTTAATGCGAATGTGTGATCTCATGCAGGTATCCGCCCGATATACGAGCAGCGGAAACTGCATAGCGAGTCTTGACGATTTTACCAACCGCATGGCGACAGAAGACCGTGTACACACTTGGAGTCTTTGTGCCAAGGAAAAACATTCTGTGCCTCTCTCATGAGATGCATAGCACTTTACCTGCAGATCGAGTGATCACATGTCCTTGAGGTCGTAAGGCATGAGATGAAACATGGTCACCCAGGAAGCCCTTCTCACAACTAATGAGAGATGCATTTGCAGTTGAAGTGATGTGGCAGCTAATTGGCTCGCTAGCCTGGCGCAGGTTCCTGGTCCCTGTAAAAGACAACTCAGACGAACCTTGCGTGTTCACCGATTATTCTCAGGAAACTGATATATCGTATTCATAGTACCGCGAGGTTACATCCGTCCGTGTGGGAAAGTCCATAATGTCAAGAACCATAAGATTCAGGATATAGTATGATGAAGACGGCTGGAGAGCGTTTGCCGCGAAGAGTTATCCCAATTGAACCGGCCGATCCGATACATGGCATGGGGATGGCTGAATGGATACAAGATCAGCATGGGACGGGCATAGTACCTATTCATGGTGGGGCTTAGGCGAATATGCAAGCATCCGTTGTAAATCCCGCATTAGAGAGGGTCTCACCTTGGCTTCGTGTGTCATTCCAACTGCCATCGGAACCTTGCTCGAAATCTCCAGCCAAAGACTAATGCCCATGAATGATGTGGCTAAGGCAGGAAATCACTGCTAGCCTATGATCCACTTTTTTTGCTTTCTGGGTTCGTTGGATATTATCTCCGCTGCATATTGATGGCCGAGCGGAAGGACCTACCAGGCTACCATGCGTACCGTAGAGTCTTTTCTTTTATGCTTGGCGTTGGTGAGGTGATGGTGTTGGTGTTGCACAAAGCCAAAGCACAAGAGGAATCGCCGAACATATTGCGATCAGCTGACATCTGCCCTCAGTATCAGGCAGCCAATCGTTGATAACATCGTGTTGTATGTTATAGCCAATCCATGTCC